GTCATGTTATTTGTAATACCCCAAGAGGTATAAAAGGACTTGGTTTTAGACCAAGTCAGAATCATCATGTTCATAATTTTTAATTATTGATCTAATAATTAATATTTCCTAATACACTGTAATAATAATATTATTATCACTAATAAAACACATAACATATTTTACCCTGAAAATAATAACCTTTAACTAATTAATAAACCACAAAGGGGAAACCTTTGTTGCCCATAGCAGTTAACCAGTATCTTAACTATCAAGAGACATCTCAAGGGGACGCCTTTGGGATATAAATACATAGAACCTAGGGACCCTTTTATCTGAAAAGATAAAAGTTATATTTTTATTAATTTTTGACCATAAGTCAGCGAGTAGGCTGTGTGTCATATATATATAAATAGTGGAAATTGACCGTAAGTCAGTGAGTAGGCTGTGTGTCAAACAATAGAATCAACCGTAAGTCAGCGAGGAGGCTGTGTGTTGAGCTATAAATAACCTATTAAATAGGAAACTCGGATTGCATGCTCACAATATATATCTGAAATTTCCTATAAATAAATAGATTGGTGACATGAATATTAATACATGAATTTTGAAAATAAAAATAAAAATAAAATATAAATATAAATATATATATATATAAAATATAAATATAAATATAAATATAAAAAAAAATATTTTAAATATGTTTTTTAAATTGTATACACCACTTTATAATTACACCCTGAGTATATCTGTTATTGTTGTTTAAAAATCCTTCTTGTTTTTTAAATGCATCATAAAAAAATCAAGATACAACCTATTATATGATCTTTGTACTATTGGAAAAAGTTGAATATAAGTTATAAGTTAATCAAATATATATAATAAATACTTATTTCTTTAAAGTATAATAATAATGAGAATATAGAATAAGTCTTTACCTGCAAGTATAATAATAACTTATTAATAAGTAAAATGTTATCATTCATATTTAAAAAAAAAAATTTAAATAATAATAATAAATAATAATAATAATGACACCATTTTGACGGACAAGATTTTGTCACAAGTGATAAAACGAATGTCCACTATGCTTGACACGACACTTATAATCTTGATTTTAGATTAAAACATAAAATAATTATACATAATTCATTCAAAAAAAAATTTAAAAAAAAATAAAAAATAAAAATACAAGACTATAGCTGTCTACATTTCTGATTGAGATATGATGACACTAATAGATGGTTGCATTGTAGACCTCGCTATTAAAGGTAATAATAATAATAAATTTATTTACAGTCAAACCTCAACGAATTATAATTAACTGATTTCTTTCATATGCCAATAAAAACAATTATGTTCCATTTCATTCAAAAGCTTGCTTTCATTCATGAGTTTTAATTGTTAAAAATGCAACAACAAAAAACAGGTAAAATGATAATTCGTAAAAATTTTTTTATATATAATGAAAAACAATAATCAATTCAATTCAATTGTTGAGCAAAATTTTTTTAATAATCAATTCAATTGTTGATTAAAAGAATAATACTTTTCTTGAAATAATTTGTAAAAATATGTTTAAAAGCAATAATAAATTCACTTGAAATGCTGATGCAGCAACAATATAACCATGCTTTACTTAAAAAAAAATTTCTTGTTATTATTAAATTCAAATTTTTTTTATACCATTTTAATATCAATAGTATGATCTTCAGTTTCTCGTTCTCTTTGAAAAATTTTATTATTATTATTGCACAATAAAAGGTAAAAGGGCATTTATCAAAGAAATTTTTTTTAAAGACACTTTATTTACGACGAGTTGAACTTTGTACAACCTCAAATTTTCCCAAAAGATTATCACACTTCATCCTTTTTGTTTACCGATTTCCATAACTTTTCTCACGGTAATACGCTAATAAACAAATAAACAAACAAAAACCAAACAAATAAAAAAGTTTAAAAATAGAATTTTAATAGTAATTAACAGGGCGCAAAATGCCAATTGAAATTTACCGGCTCTTCCAATTTTTACCAGAATTTTGAATTCTAAGCCGGGAAAACCTGCAAAATTTAAGTACATTTTGCGCCCATTGGCTATTAATATAGTAATTGATTTTTTAGATGTATTAAAATTGATGATGTTTGTTAATTGTTTTTGCCTGAGGTTTTCACTGCAGTTGGGAAGACTTAGAGTATTCCGCCCAAAAATTATTCACTTACGCTACCATTGGTCTTACAGCCATCGGCATTTATGTCTCCTTGGCTTATGGTTTGTTTTGGACACATAGTTCCTGCCCCGTATTTTCTTTCTTTTCATTGACATATAAAGTTATAAATGATAAATATAACCCTTCGACTTGATGTATAATTTTAACATTGAAAAATCGAGGCGACGAGGAGTTTATTGAAATTGTTGTGTTTAAGCAAATAAAAACTTGCTAACGATAAGCTAGTACCCTTTTTATTAAACTCATTTGTTAGCTTGTTATATCACCAATCAAAATGATTTTCGTAACAATGATTATTAAATTTACCATATTAAATTGAATTGTGGCTCCCATCTTTAATTGTCATTATTATTATTTCAAACCATTGAAATATATGGTATGTTTCTACAATCAGTAAATAATAGGTTATTGGTCATTTATTTTATTGTTTTGGAAATAAAATTTAATTATTTATTGTTTGGAAATAAAAGATAGTTTAATTTAAACAAAATTACAATTCATATATATGTCGTGTTTATAGCAATGGATGACATTATTCAAAACATTGAAATGTATTGACATAAAATCAATTAACTATTGTAATTTTTTTTGGTAACAAATTTATTTATTATCAACAATAAACTTTAATTTTATTCCTGGCACCAATTATTTCGTTATTCTGCTCGTTTGTGAATTAATTACACAAAATTTAACTATATACATCGCTGATCGATCAGCTGCTGAAGTTTCAGATTCCTTTGATAAATTATTGATAACATTATTATTTCGAATATTTATTACAAAAAAGATGTATAGTTTATCAAAGATATTTGTTCTTTGATATTGAATCGACAACGTTTGTTAATACCACTCGTATAATCTTTATTTATAATTATATATATAATTTACCAAGCAAGATATTTGAATTCTTCTTTGATATTGAATTGAATGCTTGTTTTTATTAATAATGTCATGTTTGTTCGTGTTCAATATCAATGAATCTGAAATATATTCCGTGTAACATAAATCAACATTTTTTTATCTGAAAATTTAAGAGTTAATTGACGATCCGCGAATGAAGCAGAGAATTCTTATAGTGATCGGCGTGTGCAAAAATGGTAAAAAATCGTCAGT